ACCTCATTAAGAAAAGGTTATAAATGTTGCTCGATCTCATCCATGTTACTGCAATGCCTGCTGCTGTTCTGCATGCTCTTGGTTTCGAGAAACTGCACACAAGGACTGACAATTTGTTTCTGAGAAAATAAATGTATAATTCGTCTTATTTACCCAACAGACAGGTCCCTCTGAAGTCTCAGGTGACAATCAGAAAGTCTCCAAGTGTCTTTTAAAGTGACATTGTTCAATGCTGCACAGGCTGGGAGATTGTTTAGATTGTTAAAACAGGATCTAATTTATATTTTTAAAAAGCACCAAGAGCCAGGCACTTCCCTGCTCCCTCAAAGGCCATTTAGCTAAAACAAGGTAGAGTGATTTGTCTTGCCTCAATTTAGCTGTAATGAGTATTAAGTGGTTTATCTATGTGGCGAAAAGTTACTCAGCTAGATTACATCCAAGTTGAATTGCACCCGATTCCAGATGGAGTATATTTTTTAAGACAGTAAATCTTGAGGAGGATGGGTAATAACGCTAATGCTCCTTCACGGGTTGGAATGCAGCTCTCTTACCTCTCATGGAGATAACGTTAGGAGCTACGTCCAATTAGTTTTTTCAAAGGCTTTATAAAGAAACGAGGCTTCAGATTTTACAGCTCTGCAAACAATTTAGCTTGAAGCATTTAAGTTGCCCAGGTGAGTTAATTGTAGTCACTCCTCTGGTTTTCGCTAGCCGAGCTGTTGCGTTGGTCCCTTATCCTGCCGAGCTGGCTCCCTGCTTGGGGTACCCATTGGGACCACAGGGACATCCGTGCGGAGCCAGCACGGAGGGGTCCTCAGCCCTCCGAGCATGTTCTGGGTGCTCAGGGCGGCTGTTCTTCATCCCACCCAAGCCCAGGCGTTTTCTGGCACTTAAACCACAAATGGAAGTTGCTCTGTGGATGGAGACTGTTGGGTTGTGGTAGCTGCTTGGAAAGGATTTTTGTTGCTGGAGGATGCCCCAAGTGTGATGACGGGCTAGCGCTGAGTTAGATGTGTGTAGCGGGAAGGGTGGGAGGTGCCGTTTTTTGAGGGGGAATTCCTACCGCCTGGTGCCATCTGGCTCTCTAAATGCAAACGTTGCTCATGCAGTGGCTACCTGAGACTCCTGGGAAGGAGAAGAAAGGTGGAGGTGAAGGAACAACTCCAAGAACATCTCTGCCTGAGGGGCTGACTCTTGCCTGGCTGAAATACCTGCTGAAACTCATCCCTCTGTGCCCTTGGCCACTCTCCTTGTCCATGATACTGTCCTCTTCTTTATCATGCTGCACTTCCATCGAGCCCATCGGCTCAGCTGTCTGCCCAAGCAGAACAGGTCTGAGACCTCTGACGATATCTGCACAGGGGTATGTGGATTTGAAGTCAGGGCAATGTTGCTGTATTAGCCTCGGGCATGCCGCTGCTCTGCCGTAATGCTCAGGATCTGGAGAGCCTCTCACACCACAGAGAAGAATGTGGTTTTGGACTGGAGGTTAAGCATTCCTCATGACTGAAGGTGCTCTCTGATAAGGTGATGGGGATCATTTGTTTAATTTCTGGTGATTGCAATGAGGAGGTCTGAGCCGTCCACATTCCTGCTCAGCACCGTCTCCTGGGTGGGTCACTCGGGCATTTCTGCCATCCACAGCTTTGGGGGAGGTAGGGGAGGAGCGAAATTCACTGATAAGACGAAGGTCAGAGGCCGAAAAATGTTGGGAATGTGTTTCTTGATCTAACGTGGGGGAGCCAGAGCACAGGGCTTTGCTGCTCAGTCCTGGAGTGTTACTGCCTGCTGTCATGAGAGTTATGGGATCTTTTAAACCTGAGATCAAGATGCAAACTGCTCCTCTGACACCTACCTCCACACAGGCAGCTCCAAAGATGGTGATGATTCGTCTCTGAGGGCATAGTGAGGATGCTGACAACTTTGAATGGTGTTTCTCAGGCTCTGCCTGAGATGGAGCACTTTCAGCTGACAAAATTTGCTTGCTTTCTTTTATATACTGCTATGGGATGTTTTCTGGTTGAGGTCAAATGTGGGGTGTGGTTTGGGGTTGAACAGTGGTGTTTGAAGAACTCCATCAAATCTCAGAAAAGGCTTTGGGTTGGAGTAGTCCATGGTGGCACTGACTCCAGGGATTGCTCTCAGGACGTGCCCAAGGAATACTCATTCCTTTACCTGGGACATAAAAACAAAGCGGGGAAATAATTCTCTCCCCGTTTCTCTCTTCTTAAGGTGGCCAGGCTCTCTATTCTTGCAGTCAGCAAGTCACTCCTTGCAGCATCCAGGGCCTGGAAAGAGCTCTGGTAGTTCCTAAACTGCCAGAAGGCTCCTCATGCACTTGAGAGCTTGGAGCTCCATGTGGAGCAGAGGTCCTGCCACTGAAGAAACAGGCAAAACATCTATTAATACTGTGGTTGTTGTGAAGCCCATGAGTGACCTGGCAACACATACAGATATTCTTTAGCTTTATCTCGTGTTTCTTACGTTTGTTCTTGTGAGTGTGGCTGTCTGTGTAATTACTGCACGCACAGACTGTCTTCAGTGCAGCTGCCTATCTCTGATTTCCAGGGAGGCGTGGATAAAACCTGCCCTTTGATGGCTATTTGAATACTTCATTGAAGCTGCTCTGAATGCCCTGAAACTTTGAGATAAAAACCCCAGGAGCTGGTCTGGAATCAAGTCTGAATCACTTGATTTGTTGTTTAGAGGCTCTTGTCTCCGTGCTGCCTTGGAAACATGCAGTTACCCTGGGCAGCTCTCAGGCAGGTGAGGGACACCTTATGGAGCCAGCAGGTAGAGACACGTTCCATAAGAAAAGAGTGAGTTGCTGGATGTCTTCGGACTGTCTGGAGACTCCGCTGGGAGCTATATTTAGCCAAACGGATATTACTAAACTGAATTTAGGGGTAAGTCAATAAATGCAGTGGCCTGGGATGCGGAAGAAGTCAGACTAATGATCCATGGTCCTCTTGGTTTTGCCTTTAAGACTCTCAAATTCCCCTATTACCATGATGGAGGAGAGGTTCATTACTAATTCAGCAAGTTGTTTAAGCTGACGCTGAAATCTTGCTGACTTAAGCACAGATCTCCTGTAACTTTTTTACTCTACACATTTTTATATGCATGACTAGATTCATGACGTTGGTATGAGGCGTTAGCCAGGAAGGTGCTATGGATTGATCATATTAACCTACTGCTTTTGCCTTCTTTTCCTGTGATGCACGGACTCCTCCCAGTTGAGTTGTTGGATGGATAGAGTTTGTGATCTCTGCAGCTGGAGGTGATATTGTTGTGAACCGTATGACCGCTTAACTGTTCACTGAACTTACACAGTTTCCTACAGCGTCTTCTTATCCTTCCTTATGAGGATTTATTTGGATTTACTGGTTTTGCACAAAGCACAGTCAAAACAAAAATAGCGAGCATGTTTTCCTTGAGAGTGTTTGTCCTTTAGATGGGCACTTGACTCTAATCTGTCCTGCTGTTCCTTTATGTGCAGCTTGGCACTTGTCTGTGGTAACCCTTTTTTCAGGCATATTCCAATTTTTCTCTTGAATGGTCAAAGCACTAAGTTGTTAGCTGCAGCTTGCATGCTAGCTCTTCTGCAAAACTGCCCCAAGAATCTCCAAGAAGCAGAATTCAGGTTGTGCTAAGGGTGTCTGGCAGGTGCTGCCAAAGGGAATGATAAGCTGTTTAGCACAGTGCCAGCCTAAACCGTCCAAGTAATGCATATATGCATATGTGCATGTGTTTGTGTGTGTGAAAATTTAGCTCGTGTTGCCTGCTAACCATAAGGGGCCAATTCTGAATGGTGCTGGGTGTCAGCAACACACACCAGCATGCGCACAGTTGCATAATTCTTGGTTTCCCTCTGATTCATGCTCAACATGAAGTTCTGTGGCAGAATAATGGCTTTGCAGGCACTCAATAAATAAAATGAAGTAAAATATAACTCCATTATACAGAGTGCTTTTAGCAGTGCAGAAATTGCTCGGTTTTTCATGTGCATAAGCTGCAAAGCTTCCTCTTCTCCCCCTCCTGAAACAATTCAGTGTCTGCTACCAAAAGTACAAGTGGAGAAGACATTTTACAAACATTGATGGATGGATGGAGCTATTGCAAGCTGTTAAACTGTGATGAAGATGGTTAAATGGTTTTTCCAGGTTCCTTTAATTTCTTCCTTGTAAAATTTGCAAATGTGTTTCTTCAAAGCACATTTCAAAACGAAAACCAGATGCTTTGGACAGTGATGAGCCACCCACAGAGCTCTCTGGCAAGGTATCTTCTTCACCAGGTCACGCTATCTAGTGCTGCTATCTTATTGCAATGGTAAATGGGCCATTAAATTTCTTCAAGTTGAATATTACCATTTTATATGAGGTTACACTGTACTTTATTGTCCTAGTATTTTGCTGTCTGCTGTCACATACTTTCTCAAGAATAAGAAAAAAAGTAGGTCTGAGCAGTGAGAATTTGTGTTGTAACATGCCAGTCCATGTGTATGCTTTAGCTTTGTGGTCTATGTATTTTTTGTGGTATTGGGAATTCTAACAGTGACCTATTTATAGAACCATAGGAAAAAATGTTTGAGGAGCTTGTCAGTTGAGCTTAAAAGAAAGGGGGAGAAGGCAGTTTATTTCATCCTAAAATGAAACACCTTCTGTTGTTGAATATTTTGGGGCATTTTAGATGAATGTGAATGGCTTTCAAAGGCCAGAAACTACTTCATTTATTTATTTTTTAAAGGAACAATTCAACTTCACTCACCTTTTCCCTTCCCCCCACACCTCATCAAGTGGGGCTGATAGGAAATACTACTGCTGCTGCTGCTGAATCTCAGCTCTTGAATGAAAAATCCCTTCCCCACCCTTTAAACTTGAATTTGTAGTAATTAGCTCTTTCCCAACCCTTCCACAGAGTGAGAAAATGTATTGCTGTCTGACAGTACTAATCTATAAAACATGATGCTTGAACTTATTTTTTTCTCTCTTTTCCTGAAGATTCATCTTCCAACTACATCAGACAACTTGAAACAAAAGTGAAACTTCTGGAAGATGACAACAAGCTTCTCTCTCAGGTAGTTTTTATGTTTTTTACCTAACTGATATGGATGTGGACATGGGCTCCATTCTCCTGTTTTCACATAGTTGTGCCCAGCTTCCCACTGGAATTCAGTAGGGCTTCAGTGGGCTTTTGGGCAGGGGAGAGCCCAGTGGTCCTTCATGTCAAATGCCACTGATAGAACTGGACTTTGCTTTCTTATACGCCTCTTGACAGTAATGCTACCTCAGAATATAGAGAAAAAGTGGGTTAGGGCCCATGTCCACGTGTGTTTAGGAGTGAGACAATGATGGTAATGCACATGGATGTGCACAAAAGGCGAGTGCTGCTATTGCCAGAGGGATGAGCCAAAACATGCCTGCTCCTGGGGGCAGAACTGGAGGGAGGAGGATCTGTGTCTGCAGAAGCAGATGTGTGGAGGAGAGCAAGCACATGTGGTGTGTCTGCACCCATGGGTCCATGCACATCTCCTTGGTGAGCACCTGCTCTCGCTCGTGTTAGTGGCACGGTCCAGCACTGCCTGTGTCCTTGCTCTAGGATTTTGTCTTGCTTGCCCGTTTGCATTTTCTTTTATGTTGCTGAGTGACGGGCCTGTAGTGAAAGGACAGCCTTGGGAGTAGTTTTGTGCAGCGCTGGCTTCTAGATTTTATTTGTGATCTTGCTTAAAACAAAACAGACCTCTTTAAAACTGGCACTTTTTGCTTGCATCTGTCCTTCAAAGTCTACTCTGTGTGCCACTGGGCTTTTGATTGCTTGTTGTGCTTACCTACCTATATATAAGAATGTCAAGTGAGAGGGAAGAAAACAACCGTCCTGCCTAGTATGTCCCCAGGATCCCACATAAAACATAGCACTTGCTGTAAACAGGGGCAGCTTTGCAGAAATCAGTGAAACTCTGTCCATTTAAACCATCAGAAGAGTTATCTCTCGTTCTCTGCATCGTGACATTATTACACTGTTTTTCCTCCATGGCATTTTTAAGTTTCTCTTTTTCTGAACTTTGCATCTTGCTTCAAGCACTGGTTATCAGAATTACTTTGTCACAAGTTCTTTCCATTTATAAGGAATGAGAGTGAAACAATTCCTATTTTTTTAAATTATAATTTGCCAAAATTTAATAATTTGCTGTTCTTTTTATTTTACTGAGTCTGAAACTAGAGTTTTCCAGTATCACTTCTTGTTTTTTTTTCCATTTTATTTCTAAAACATTACTTTTAAAAAACAAAATTGAAGAAGGCAATATGCTTACTGGACTTTCAACAGAATAACCTCATTTTTAATGAGCTCTACGTTCTGACTGGACTATGAGCTTCTTAAAAATTACCCCAAGTTTTCAGTGTGCAGTTGACCTTACTAGTCATAAAAATGCAACTCATTGAAAACCAAAGAGTTAAACACCCCTGAAAAGGCTCTCAACCCAACAGCTACCAAGTGGCTTCAAGTATTAATCAATTCCTAATTTAATTTTAACTCTCCCTCTTTTTCTTCCAACCCATAAATTCGCTGGTGGCAGTTTAAACCTCGAGACGAATTCATTGGAAATATTGATAAACAGATGGGCTCTGCCGCGCAGGGTGGCCAGTTGCTAGGAGACACGCATGGATTCGGGAAGCGCTCCCTGCTCAATATGCCCTTGGCCTGACTTCGCCCCGCCGCTCGCGAGGCTGCGAGCACGGTAGTGCTCGGCTCGCTTGGGCCTGACTTGGCCAGCCCCAAGGATTCATCGCTGTTCCATAGGGGAGTGTTGGGCAGGCTGAGACTAGGCCCAGGCCTGAGCATGAGGCCTTGATGTGCATAAGCCTCATGTGAGGCAGCAGCCCACGGCTCTGTCCTTCCTTCTACCGTGTTCGAGTTCAAAACACTAGTGACTTGCTGGCTGGTAAAGGTGGGGAAGTAAAGCTCTTAGCTGTAGAGTTTCCTGGCTGCAGGTGGAAGAGAGGGAACTGTTCCTGATGCAGTCACTTTGCCACCATGAAGAGGCTGCTCTCAAATCACCTGCTCAGGATTTGGGCTCCTTGGTGCCAAAGCAGCCCGGCCTGTTGGACCTTCTGCCCACGTTTCGTTGTGGGCCAGAAGGCTGTGCGTTTTCCTCGGAGCTCACAGATTGTCTTCAGTTATCCCCAGCTTTCCGCCTGTGCTACTACAGAAGTTCTCATCTAGCAAAGAGGGAAGTGATCCTAAAACCCTCTGTGCTCTGGAAGGGGTCAGCAACCTCCTTAGCACCACGAGCCACTGACTCCAGGCAGACTCTGACATTCTGTGCACCATCCCTATGTGATGTCTTAATAGCCCTCCAAAAATACCAGGATCCAACCTATTTTAGACTGCACTCATGAAATCTGTCTTTCTTACCAGAGGCACTTTAGCTCTCCTTAGGGTAACACAAGAAAGGCTGCAGCTGCCACTCTCTTGGTGCTACAAATGCCGACCTGCATCTTTTCCTGATCTGTGATCCTACAAACTTGCTTTTCTTAATGTTTCTCTTTTAATGCTCAGTAAGAAACTCACCACTTTTCCCCCCATTTTCTACTAGAGTCTGCAAACTATAGCAAAAGGAGAATGGAAGATGAAGACAGTCTTTATATGAACAGACACTGATGCCTGTGTACACATTGTTCCTAGTATTTTCTTGAAAAAGTATAATCCGCTTACTGGATTCTTTCTTGCTTTCTTTTGGTTGGAAAGCTCTTACCGTGCATACCTCTGGATGAGATGCTAGTCAGGAAGGATCCTGGCAAACTTCCTGCTGTTTTAAAGTTTGCAGGTAATCCTGGCAATGTGCACTCCACTATGCCAAACTTGCTTGTCAACACCAAAGTCACATTTTAACTCAGCTTGGCTTTCTCCCTGGGAGTATTGACATTGCAATAATATTTGCAGCCTCGTGTCAAGAAGTTCTATCACCACCATGCTGAGGAGTGATGAAACCTGACGTCCTAAGTAACAAACAGTGCCTGTGCATTAAAGGATTAACAAATCAGTAGTGGTTATGGAAGTCTTCCTGGCTGCTTTCCAAGCGTTAAACATGGAGCTGAAAAAGCGCTTCATCCAGGGAAACCTGAGAAGTCTGGAGCTGCAAATGATATTGCAAGCTTTGTAGGAGGAGTTATATTACAGTGGCCAGGGACATAAAGCCTCCTTGCTAGCTGGTGCATCCTGAGCAAGGTTTGTTCCCTTAGCTCTGTGTGTCTGGGATGTGAGGCTGTGCGGAGGCGTGATGAGTGCCCTTGTGTCACCTCCAGACACAAGTTAGTGCGAGGCTCCTAAATGTGCCCCCCTAAATGTGCATCCTGGCATCTCCTTTTCCCTCGAGCACGATAAAACAAAGGCTCGGTGGGAGAGGCAGGAGCGTGCCAGCCGTGCTGGGGCTGCCAGCAGGGCGAGCGGGCCGTGATTCACGCTTCTCTCTTCCTGATGACTCATTTGAACAGATTAATGGAAAGAGATTTTCCTTGTGGGATCAAGAGCTACCATCTCATGAGCCACACTTTAAAGTGGGATGAAATCAAATGGAGAAATGGATGTTATTTATGTTATCTGTACGTGAGTTTTTTGGTTTTACTCTCTTTTCCCTTTTAGGGTCATTTCTTTCTTTCCGTGCATCCACCCTGGCATAGTCTCCACTCACCAGAATTGGGATCTTTTTTCCAGCATTAGATTTGGAGATGTTGTAAGGCAAGCAATTAGTGTGGAAACCATATATTTCCACTTGGGAAGTAAGCCCCTTTGTTTTTTCCTAATCCGTCAATAATCACTGCTGTTTGCATCCTCTCTTCTGAGGAGAAACTACCGCAATTTTATACCTTCCTTCAACTCAGGTTTGCACTCTGATGTTTTGCTGGCATAGCAGTGTTGTCTAGAAAGTCATGCTCTTGGCTGACATCGCTGTGCTGGCAAAATCCCTGGTAACAATTCTGACAAAACACAGCTTTTGTTGCCCTAGTTTATATTGTTTTAGAGAGATGCTCCAAGCAATTGCTGCTATCGAATAATGTCCATCAGTGCCTGCTCATGTGTGCTAGTAGGCTGCTGTGGCATAACCTCATGGGGCAAAGACTCCACGGGTGCAGGTGGGACTTCAGTGTCCTGGGGCTGACAGCGTTGACAGCCTCTCACAAGTGTAATTGGCTTTGGTCCTCTTAAGAGCACACAAGCAAGGAAGCGGAGGCACAGACTGAGTTTCTGAGGGTGTCAGTAACCTGAATTCTCATAGCCTCTCAATAGCTGCCTGTTTTTTATGTGGTAAGGTGGAAATCCTTAGTTGGCTTCCAAATTCCTGCCACAGGAGAGGAGAAATCCAAATATGTTCTGGTGTGTAGGCTTAATTGACAACTTCATTTTCTGAAGTTTTAATCGAGGTCTAGAGAATGCTAATGCAACCTCTAAGGAATGCTGGGTGTTGGCTTTGGAGGGCTTTACAGGCATCACTTATAGTCTTAAGTTCTCTGGAGAACAAGTACACTAAATTATACTGTGTGCATTGATTTAATCCACCCCACATCATGTGGAAGAGATGATCTTTTTTCTCTATATCATTGTGGGAAATGCACTGGGAACCTGGTTAACCTTTTATTTTGCAGTGAGATAACTAGACAGGGGAACTGTCTATATTATTGGGATATAACACCTGGGATGGGAGGCAGCATTTGCTTGCTTTTCCTCTGAGCTGAAAGCGTCTAAATAAAAAGTAGACCCTTTAAGCTGTCTCATACTACCTCTTTAACTATAAATGAACACTTAATAACATCCCTTTCTCTCAAGATTAGAGAAACCCATGTGTTCATCAGTTTCCAAAGTAATTTCTGGTTAGGTTTATTACTAATGCGTACATTTTAGAGATAATCATAGTGAAAAACTTTTGGTCATTGTTCACAGTATTTTACATTTTCCACTCTTTATGCCTAATGGCAATCATTAGACACATTTCAATAAAAGCTGAAGCTTAAAGGCCTCATAGACTCAGCACCTTGTTCTCCCTTCTCATATTAAAGTGCTAGGTATCATAGACTGACTGTC